TGTGTGTGTGTGTGTGTGTGTGTGTGTGTGTGTGTGTGTGTGTGTGTATAGATGAGAGATATAAGAAGGTATGGCATGCATAGCTGGAGGGACGATGGAACATTTGAATGGGTGGAGACAAAGCATAGGAGGAATGATTGAGAATGAAAAATCATGGGGTTTGGGTTTTAGGTGTAGTGGTGAGGATGTATGAGGAATGAAGGCCAGAAGGCTTACCAGTCATCCACAGATAAAAGTCCCAGCAAACAGAGGTGGGTCTCCTAACCTGCTGGCCTCAACATCGGCCTGCTACTGTTCCCACTTAATCCAGCATCAGAAGGCAGCACTCCTGTCTCCAGCCTGCCCCAACTACCTGGGGTGAAAACAACGCGTGTGCACATTCCCTCGGAAAATTCACTTGGGAAAGTGACATCAGGAAATGGCCCAACTGAAGAATAAAATCCATCTGTGTATCACAATTTCACGTCTTTTGGCATATTCAACAAATCCTGAATATGTGAATATTCTTACACTAAGTCTTTAAACAATAGCTTACAGCATCTATAATTTTAAGTTTCAGAAATCTTTTATCTACTTCACAATAAACATTCAGTTTTCAAATGGTAAAGGATGTTAGCAGGATAATTAGCACAATCCTAACAACTTTCGTGTTCTCCCAACCTTGACGAATCTTAACTGTTTAAGTAAGGTCTTAAAGTGATGACCAATGACAAAATGTAGCTATGAGGTGGATTCTTCCCATCCAGGGTTCTCAGGAAGAGGCTGCTGGAGGCCCGAGTCCTCTCTCCTGGCAATTATTTTCTCTTATTTCTCCGTAAGTCCAGCTGAGAATCAGATCCTGAATTTATTACGTAAACCAAAATGGTATGTCAAGGGCTTCTAAACCATGAAGAAGGATTAATCCTATGAATCTAAATGCTGAGAGGCTGTACAAGTCTGGGATAGTCATGATTCTCTGGATGGGAGTCTTACATGCTGAGAATGCTCACTCCAAGTTCTAGCTATTTCTGTTAATGACTAGAAAGTCATGCTCAGCACATACATGAATTTCTGATCAGCACTCACTGTTGGGAGACTAAAGTTAGAATAACATCTCAAATCTGCCTATCCAATATATCGACACCTCTTGTCTACATTCATGGTCCTGTTGTTTTCCAATATAACATTTCTGTTGCAACTGAAGTTCCAGGTCTATTTCAAATTATCCCCATCGATTAAATATTTAAAAAGATTGATATAAAAACTTGAATTTACCTTTATAACACATCAGCCTGAATCTTTCAACCTGAGTCAGAATTCCTATTCCTGACCCGTGAAAGATTGTTCAGTTATTCCTCAATTTTTCCAGCTAGACCTCAGACGTTGGATCTATCACAACTGAAGCAGTCCAGCAAACATGGAGACAACACGAAGTGAATCATTGCCAAAAATTGTTACCCTTTTTTAATGACAATAACTGCCATGTTCCAGAAAGTAAACATTGCTGAAGGTCCTAAATCCACCTTGATAGTAAGGGAGAGAACTGAAGTGTGTAAGGTAGGTGAGTGAGGACGGTTGCCCATAGCAGCTGAGTGAGTGAGCGGCTGAGGGCTGGGTTGAGTATCAGGTGGTGGAAGTAGGTTGGTCAGGTGTCCTTGGAGGAGGGATCAGGCATCCAGTGGGGGTGGGAGATTTTAGTGCCTCTCAGATGCCCGTTGTGGTGAGGGTGATGTCACTCGGGTGTCCAGTAGGGTTATCAGAGATCTGTGAGATTGGGGCACTGGAAAGCCAGAGAGGGGGGACAACTATTGCGAGTGATTGAAGGTTCCAGTGGTGAGTAGCTGGAACAGTAGCCAGCTTTATAGTCAGCAGTTAGTTTGAGTAGGTCTTAATTCCAGCAGCTTCTCCTAGGGAATTATTAAATACAAGTAAATCAGAACACTGCAAAGTCTCCAAATATAACTCTGGGTGCAATTGCCCAATGAAAATTTAAGCCTCCTTGTAAGTACCACACTGTCAGTGCATCAAACACCAACAGGTACCAATGTGCATCTTTCAGGGAGACTGGAAGATCTAGCCACCATATAATACATGCACAACAACATAAGGATTTTACGGTGTTTTAATGTGAAATAAATCCCACTGAGAATGGAAAGACGCCTTGCAGAATGAATCACTAACCAGTAGCTGCATTGTTCCTGAATTACAGAGCCTGAAGTATAGGGAATCCCTTGAAACATACAAGGACACTCTGTGGAGTTCAAACATGTTCCATTTTCATGAACTGAACCTGTAAGAAACAATTACATCATTTTATGCCTCACTTTTAAAAACATTTTATAATTGTCAGAAATACTATTGTTCATATAAAATATTATATTTAAAATTTAGGTTACAAGTAAGTGCAGAAAATTACTAACTAATGGTTAGCTGATAAGACTAGATAAAATAACTTCTTATTTAAACATTCAAACTTCAGGAAAACTTTGTTCCAAAAAACCACTTTGGCAACTACAACTTTATAATTGTGCCTATAATGTAATAATAAAACATTGCAAGGCACTTCACAAGGGCACATTGAAACAAAGCATAATACTGAGCCACATGTTAGGGCTGATGACCAAAAACTTAATCATAGAGCTAAGTTTTAAGGAGTGTCTTAATAAGGAAAGGCAGTGAGGTTTAGGGAGGGTATGCTAGAGCTTAAATGTTAGATAATGGAAGTCACAGTCAACAATGGTGGACCAATTAATATATTAGGAATGCATAAGAGATCAGAATGAGAGGAGTGCAGATATCTCAATGGGTTGTGGGATTGGAGAAGATTACATCTATAGGGAGGAGGCAGCCATGGAGGAATTTGGAAACAAGGATGAGATGTTGCCTGACTGGGAGCCAACATGGGTCAGTGACAACAGCGGTGGTAGCTCATTGAAATTGAAGACATGATGGGGGAGCAAAATTTTGTACGACCTCAAATTTATGGAGGAAGAATGTGGGTGATCCAGCCAAGACAGAACTGGAATAGCTAAACCTAAGGCAAATGAAGGCATGCATGTTGGTTTCACCAGAAGACGAGTAGAGATGGGATGGTTGTTATAGTATGCTATGCCAGGTTTTCAAGATAATCTAAATGAGGAAACTCTTGGATCTAAACTGTTGCCAAGTTATAAACAGATTGGTTTAAAGGACTCTTCATTCCTCTGTGACAAGCTGATACTCTCCAGGCCATCCCATGTTATCTTGTGGTAGAATCCATTGATGAATAACTATTGATGGGACAGCTGCAACAAGCAAATAAGTAGATGAAAGATAACGATACCAGGGATCCTGGTAGCATTCTAGCTGAGTCCTCCAGAGCTGCTGGAGACATCAAGACTCCATGCACTCGTCCTACAGATTTGGGAGGAAAAAGAGCTCCTCCACTCCAGCCCATCCCTCCCTTGACTTGAGGAATGAGACAATTTTTACTATCTTCAAGAAGCAAATAAACCATGCTGTGGAAACTACCAATGTATTTTGTTGCCAAAGCAGGGGATGTATACGACCCTGGAATATGTTGAGCAGTTGTCATACCTTGCCATCCACTGCCGTGAAAAGGCCAGCATTGACAAGATGATTCAAAACTGGATCAACTACAACAAGCCAGTCTTCTACAAATTAAAGCAATGCATATTTGACAAGAAAGTTTTCCACAAGTCAACAGTTGTCTTAGTGTACAGAGTAATTGCTGTAGCCACACTCCTACACTGCAGAGAGACCTGAACTGTGTATCAGTGACACATAAAAGACTGTTTGAGAAAATCTATTGGCAATGCCTCTGCCACATTCTTCAGATTCAATGAAACAAATTTGAACAAATGTTCGTATCCCTAATGAAGCCAGATCCATAAGAATTCAGGCTACAATATCAACTACAATGGACTGGACATTGTGCCTGTAATCCTGTAAAGTACTGCTCCACCAGGCCCTATTTTCTCCACTCTCAACCAGCATGTTTTCGGCGAAGGATGCAAAAAATACTACAAAGATACTCTGAAACTCTGCTTGATGTATGGCATCATTGACAATAATAATTGGGAACAGCCTGCTACTAATTGTTCAACATCATGACAACTTGTCCATCAAGGTGCAACATGCTTCAAGCCCAAACATCTTAGTGATAATGTAAAGAAGTAACACAGAGGGAAATAAAGGAAGCATATCTTGTATTCTCACATGTGCAATATCCTGCCTCATGTACTCAAAGATCTGAAAGTCAAGAAACAGCCTGTTCAGTCACATGAAGAAATAGCAGAAACTCTCAACTGAGTAGACATCATCCTTTAATCAAGGTATAACCTACAATGAATTAAAAATGAAACATAAAAACTTCTGTTTGTTCTGTTTTTTGACTTACTGCATTTTCTCACTTCCTCTTCATTTCCACTTTAACCATAACTCTACTGTTCCCTCAAAAAAATACCTGAAGTCTAAAATCATCTTTTTCAATTATAAAAAACTTGCTCTGATTTCATTTTATTTCCTCTTATATTGTCATTTGAAGACGAGTAAGATATTACAGCTGCTTGCAACAGCCAAAGTCCTGACAAAATTACTTAAAAAACTGGTTATTTAACTGTCAGTCATCATCTACTGATGCATTCTCCACAGTAACACCTTTACCAATCTGAATCAACTTGCCAAACAATGAGCATGCATATCCCATACAAAACACAAAAACCCATTCCCTTTATATTGGCATTCTTCTAAATGTCCTGAAGAGTGCAAGGTAATGAGTTTAAAAAAGGGGGGGGGGGGGGGGCTTTATTCAGCAATATGCAGACAATACTTACTTGAATTTTCCAAGTTGCTGTTTGAAAACCAGACCCAAAGGTCAACTTAAAATATACTTAAGTTATAGTTATGTAACGACATCTATGCTCTCACTAGGTCAATTTTTGACACATCAAAACTGGATAGGCTCACTGTGGACAAGCAAACACAATGAGGCTTAAGAATGATTTTAATTTAAATTGTATAAATTACGAATCTACCTTCAGGGCAATAGCATCCATCAAGACACTGAAAATCACTGTCAATGCATTCCTGCTCTAGGCCACACGACACGGGACAACAATCCACACATTCACGGTGGACAAATTCACCTTCACAAACGGGCACTGTGGAGAAAAAAAATGGCAAAGAAAAGATAGCAACTAAGACAACTTGAGATTTTTAATTATGAATTATCATATTGCATTCAAGAGAGATCAGTTTGGAATTGTTATACTTATAAAGTAAAATGACAACAGCTCTGAGGAATTAAAAACTTTTGGCTCCCAATGACGACATAAAATCTTTTTTATTCTGCCTCATCATGAGTAGATTCCTCTCTTCTGCTGCCAGCAATGTGTCTTCCGTTCAAACTAAGTAGAGCATACCAAGCTATGTCTCCATAAATCATACAGTTCCCAGACTGTCCTAATGACCCAGGTGAGATTTTACAAGATCCTGCAATTCTAGCAGCATCTGTCATGCAGCCAGTCAATTACAGCAGACCTGACACAGTCTCAGTCATTAAATATGATTCATGAATTACACAAGAATATTTACAGCCTTGCACTGAGTGTGCTGCAAACCTATCAATTGTTCCATTTTCAGCACACATTTTGTTGATTTAATTTGTTCACTGTAATAAATACAAAGCTTTATCTGTTAGAAGTTAGCTATATATATCCTGTGATAGGTAAAGGAATAGGTCAGTGCGAGAGGTTTTGTTTTACTAGAAATCAGTTAAGATTTCATTTCTAGAGAAACAAGGCCAGTGGAATAATTAGTCTTAGCCAGCAATGGTTTGACTGAAAAGGGGTTCACAGATAGACAAGGTCTCTTCCAATAGAGGATTAGCAATTAGTTAATGCTTAAATCTAACAATCAAACTAGAATACACCTAGAATACACCTCCTCCCACCCACCTTTCTGTAAAAATGTCATTCCCTATTCACCAATTCCTTCGCCTCCACCGCATCTGCTCCCAGGATGAGGCATTCCACTTCCATACATCTCAGATGTCCTCGTTTTTCCAGGACCGCAACTTCCCCCCCTCAGTGGTTGAGAACGCCCTCCACGGTGTTTCCCGCATTTCCCACAACTCATCCCTCACACCCCGTCCACGCAATAAGAACCAAAAAAGAATCCCCCTCGTCCTCACGTACCACCCCACCAACCTCCGGATCCAACACATCATCCTCTGACACTTCTGCCATCTGCAATCCGACCCCACCACCAAAGACATTTTTCCCTCCCCACCCTTATCTGCTTTCCGGAGGGACAACTCTCTCCGTGACTCCCTTGTCCGCTCCACACTCCCCTCCAGCCCCACCACACCCGGCACTTTTCCCTGCAACTGCAGGAAGTGCTACACCTGCCTCTACACCTCCTCCCTCATCCCCATCCCAGGCCCCAAGAAGACTTTTCACATCAAGCAGATGTTCACCTGCACATCTGCTAATGCGGTATACTGCATCCGCTGTACCCGTTGTGGCCTCCTCTACATCGGGGAAACCAAGCGGAGGCTTGGGGACCACTTTGCAGAACACCTACACTCGGTTCGCAATAAACAACTGCACCTCCCAGTCACGAACCATTTCAACTCCCCCTCCCATTCCTCAGACGACATGTCCATCCTGGGCCTCCTGCAGTGCCACAACAATGCCACCCGAAGGTTGCAGGAACAGCAACTCATATTCCGCTTGGGAACCCTGCAGCCCAATGGTATCAATGTGGATTTCACAAGCTTCAAAATCTCCCCTCCCCCTACCGCATCCCAAAACCAATCCAGCTCGTCCCTGCCTCCCTAACCTGTTCTTCCTCCCACCTATCCCCTCCTCCCACCTCAAGCCGCACCCCCATTTCCTACCTACTAACCTCATCCCGCCCCCTTGACCTGTCCATCCTCCCTGGACTGACCTATCTCCTCCCTACCTCCCCACCTACACTCACCTTTACTGGCTCCATCCCCGCCTCTTTGACCTGTCTGTTTCCTCTCCACCTATCTTCTCCTCTATCCATCCTCTAACCGCCTCCCCCTCTCTCCCTATTTATTTCAGAACCCCCTTCCCCTCCCCCATTTCTGAAGAAGGGTCTAGGCCCGAAACGTCAGCCTTCCTGCTCCTATGATGCTGCTTGGCCTGCTGTGTTCATCCAGCTCTACACCTTGTTATCTCAGATTCTCCAGCATCTGCAGTTCCTACTATCTCTGAATCAAACTAGAAAGTTGTGTTAGCTTTTCATTTAACCCTGCTGAAAGAAGCTTAAGAAGGCAAGAAAGTTAGGAGGTCATGTGTGGCTGTACAGGACATTGCTTAGGCCACTGTTGGAATATTGCGTTCAATTCTGGTGTCCCTGCTATAGGAAAGATGTTGTGAAACTTGAAAGGGTTCAGAAAAGATTTACAAGTATGTTGCTGGAGTTAAAGGGTTTGAACTATACGGAGAGGCTGAATAAGCAGGGGCCCTTTTTCTCTGGAGCATCAGAGGCTATGGGGTGACTTTAGAGAGGTTTATAGAATCATGAAGGGCATGGATAGGGTAAATAGTCAAGCTCTTTTTTACAGGATAAGTGGAAACTTTTCCAAAACTAGACAGCATAGGTTTAAGGTGTGAAGAGAAAGATTTAAAAGGGACCTAAGGGACAACATTCTCATGCAGAGAGTGGTGTATATATGGAACGAACTGCCAGAGGAAATGGTGGAAGCTGATACAATTACAACATTTAAGAGGCATCCGAATGGGTGCATGAATTGGAAGAATTTAGAGAGATAGGGCCCAACTGCTTGCAAATGGGACGAGATTAGTTAAAGATATCTGGTCCGCATGGACAAATTGGACCGAAGGATTTGTTTCCGTGCTGTACAATTCTGTGACTCTATAAGTGAAATAGATGATGAAAGAATGAGCTGCTTGCATGTGCCGACTGGTCCAATATTTGCTACTTGTTACAGTCATGCAACTTTAGTGAATAACTAGAGAGTTCTATTTCAGGTTAAAATCTGATTGAACTCAACCACCCACCATATCAGTTGCACTTGATCCTGAGTGATCAATTAGATTGAGTGATCAATTACCTTCAACTAGCTTTCAAAGTTAAAAAAAAACTATAATTTGCTGTGACAAAAACCATTTGTTCTCATTATATATTGTTAAACCACACATATATGTCTCAGACTAACAACTGCAAGGTATCATAGATCATAGATCCAAAGAACACTTGAATGCTCCTAAGTCACCCATCCGTAGTGTTGATTAATATGGTCTCAAAATCTTTCGTAGATGTACTTGGGATTACGACATAAATTAATTCTAATTGCCTAATGGGACCGAAAAATCACTCTGCATTAATGTAGACTGTGTAGTAAATCTGCTCCATATGTCTGCTGTCAGCGTATCATACCACACTGGTTGAACAACTGTCTCCATTCATGTAATGGTTGATTTGCTTGTGCACAAGCTCTTGCATACTCGGTCAGCACTCCACACAATGTTGTATTATCAGGTCCATACCTGATCAAATGAAAGAAAGTAACAACATTGAAAAATAATTGCACAGCCAGAGTATCCTTGCCTCCTTCACTTAAGCAAAAGTCTTTTTCTCTTGTTCATGAACATTTGCAATCAGGCAAATAATGTGGATCTTTGGAAAGCTACATTTTTCAGTTGCATAATCTTTTATCATAAATTATTTATGGGAGTATTTACAGTGTGAATTATGAGTACATATTATAATTAAACATGTTATAAAGACTGTATTTCTTTTAACATACTCACATGCACAGATCATTCACACAGCTCGCCATGTATGGATAAGGTTGAACATGGTAATGACAGAGGACAAATGGATATCCAAGAAGCACCCTACATGTGTGTCTTATTTTCTGAAAATTATCATAAAAGTGTTAGAGCTCTCATAATCATCAGGAGGTAAATGAAACATATAGTAAGTTACAGAAAATAAAACTGGCATTACCTTTTCAATAACATGTTACAAACTTAAAATGGATACTGTAACAAGTCAGATCAATTTCAAAGAAATAGAATCAAGACCAATGCCTTGTATCAATTTTGCAAAACATCCCTACTTTTATACTCAATTCCCTTTGAAATAAGGTTAACATTTCTTTTGCCTTCCCTGTTACAAGGACTCCAGATTCATCTGAGCTGCAGTTTTCTGCCATCATTCCCTATTGAAATAGTATTCAGCTCTTCTACTTTTCCTGCTAAAGTGCACAACCTCACATTTTCCCACATTATATTCCATTTCCCAGGATTTCCCCCACTCTCATAACATGTCTATATCATCTATAAATTCTGTGCGTCATTCTCAGAACCTGACTTGCTACCAATTTTTGTGTCAACCACATATTTGGCAATAGTACATTCATTTCCATCTTCCAAGTCATTAACACGTATTTAAATAATCGTGGCTCGAGCTCTGATCCATGCAGTACTCCAATAGTTAGTTACAAGTTTCCAACCCAAAAATACCCACATTGTCCCAACTCTTTGTCTTCTAGTACTTAGCCAATCCTTGATCCATGTAATTATACTATCTACAACAGCACAGGCACCTTATGAAATAGCTTATGTGAGGTATCTTACTGAACACTATTAGAAATCCAAATATATTATATCTACTGGTTCCCCTCTATCTATTCTATTTGTTACTTCTTAGAAGGAACATAATAAATTTGTCAAGTATAATTGCCCCTTAATGGAGCTATGCTGACTCTGTTTGATTATATTATGTATTTCTAAGTCCTCTATTATTACATCTTTTGTAATAGACACTAACATTGTCCCATGACAAATGTTAAGCTAACTGGCTGAGAGACAATCATTTTTGTCTCCTTCCTTTTTTGAATAAAGGTGTTATTTTAGCAGTTTTCAAATCCTGTGGGACATTTCCAGAACCTAAAACTTCTTGGAAGATGACAACCAATGCGTCCACTATCTCTGCAGCTACTTCATTTAAAAGCCTTTGATGTGACCCATCAGGTCCAATAGAATTATCAGCCTTCCATTCTATTAGTTTTCCTAGTATATTTTCAATTGTGATCATGTGTTTATTTCCTCCCCTCCTTTTATTTAACATTTTTTGGAATGCCATTAGTATCAAATACTGTGATGATGGTCAAAAAATATTTATTCAATTCCTCTGCCATTTCCTAGCTCTACATTCTTATTTCTCAAGCCCTGTTCTCTAAGGGGCCTATGTTCATTGTGGCCTCTTGTTTCACTTTTATCTATTTAAAGATGCTTTTTTTTAAAATCACTTGCTAGTTTGTCTTCAAAGTTTACCTTATACCTTTAATTTTGGACATGTTTTATTAGCTTTCAAAACTTTCCCAATCCTCTGATCTGCCATTAACCTTTGTCACATTGTATAATCTTTCTTTCAATTTGCTACTGTTCTTAATTTCCCTGGTTAACTGCAGTTAGGTTATCAGCTTCCTAGAATCCTTCTGCCTTACTGTGTTACAAGTCTAATCATCATTGGATGCAACTTGTAAATGTAACATAATTTTCCTTCAAAGATTAACAATTGATATTCACATCCACTGGGGCTCTGGCACTATCAGTAAGTACTTATCTGATGCAGAGGTAACATAACACTTAAAGTTAACATATTTGAAGAGGAAGAATTTTCAGCTTTGTAGGGACAAAACTGCACTATTGTAATACCTTGACCAGCTCTTTCAAAGAGTTGGCATAGCCAAAGGAGGTCAAATAATGATTTGTGCTGCAAGATTATATGGTCAGTATTTTGGCAAGGCAAGGGGATCCTACCTGTTGCTGGACAGCCTGTGAGGAATCACATCACCTCTTTCTGGATATGCCAGTCATATCATGTGCCACTCCAGGACTTAGCAGCCAAGCAGCAGAATTTTCCCCAGGAATCAAGGACATCAAGGGTGAAAGTCCCACTCATCCACAGCTACCATCTTCTTAGAGACCAGACTTCTACTGATTGGTAACACCATCAAGAAGGTGATGGTTGCTGCTAATACAAAAGTGATCCAGAGCCTAGGACCCAGGTCACCGAGGACTAATGGCTAGAGAGGGTTGAGTTGACATCAGGGCAGGGGCTGGGCTCTCAGTGAATTCCCTTCCTACTGCCTGGCTCTTGATCAGGCACTGAGTGTCCTTGAATAAGAGGTTTGAATCCAACCCAAGGAGCCTGCCAAGACTGTTTGTCATACTCTCTGCTCACCTCTGGTTCCATTGAGACATGAAGCCAGAATTCCTGAGACACTATCATTGTATGACTGCACCTTTGGTTTTCTAATCTACCTGCTAAGATGTATAACAACACACCTCTGAAGCAAGGAGGACTTAAACCCAGGCCTCCTGGCTTGGAGGTAGGGACAATACCGCTGTGCCATAAAGAGCCAGCTGGAACAGGATGAGGTCCTTAAGTGAGTGCTAAGTGGTCAATTAATGGCCTCAACTGACACTGTGGAAGAAAGGCTGTTCATTTATCATCTCAGCATTGGTTTCATCAGGGTGGAGGCAGGAAGCTGACAGGATCCCCACCCACCATCCTCCTACCTAATTAAGTGACCCCAACACCCAGCATTAAACTTGCCATAGTATTCAAAGTCAAAGTCAATCTGTAGTCAACCTTTCACCTTCTCCTTATTTCATCCTAGCAGCATGTAGCAAACTATTGCTTCCACTGCTTTTGCATTAAACAGATCGTGCAGTCAATTGTTTCCATAATAAAGACAATTATTTATACAGACAAAGCATTAAAGTAACCAAGAAAAACTGGGGGTGGAGACGGAATTGATTAAATGTGAAGATGGAATGGTGTTGCTACTCTGTTCCCATCATAAATGAATACCCCTGGTTGACTGAATCACATGACCATGCATTACTGTTTTCGGGGATGAGACTTGAATCCATAAAGCATCACGAGGGAATCCTAGCACTGAGCCAAAGTTTGCACAAAAAATTTTCATTCAATATAACTCCATCTAACTGAAGTGATGTACAAAAACATAAATGTCACCAATCTTAAATGATGAAACTTTGCTTCCATCACAAAGCCAATCTTGTATATTTGGTTGGACAACAATCATAGCAAAGATACAGTAACATGGAGGAAATTCCAGAAGAAGGGTTTGTTTTCTAAATAGCTCACACTTTCTGTCCTGCCAGAAGACTGTTATTTGGGATTTATTAATTCATGCACAACTATAGCATGGTCAGCTCTGGAAGTTACAAGTAACTTAGGGATGTCCTACTAAAGTTGACAATGATTAGAATAGATTCATAACATTCAATTTATTGAATATATTAAATATGTCTTTCACATTGTCAATTTTGTATAACATTCATGTATTAAAATGTAATAAAATATTGAATACAGGTGGGTATCTATTTACATCGGTACTGTCTATTCATGTAGATTAAACTCATTGATTCATTATTTATACATTGATGACCACATATTTATTGTAGTGAATCCCAGAGTTTCTGTTGAATTTCAGATTGCCTGCTCAGTAACAAACCTCTCTAATATTGACTTCATCTTCAGCATTTTTAACTAGCCTCTAGTCCAGATCTTGGGCTATGTACACCCAGCACTATCTTCCTTACATGGGGCTCAGTAGTTAGTGCTGCTGCCTCACAGCACCAGGGACTGGTGTTTGATTCCATCGTTGGGCCACTGTCTGTGTGGAGTTTGTATGTCTCCCCGTGTCTGCGTGGGTTTCCTCCGGGTGCTCCGGTTTCCTCCCACAGTCCAAAAACATGCAGGTTAGGTGGATTGGCTATGCTAAATTGCTCATCGTGTCCAGGGATGTGTAGGTTAGATGCTTTAGCATGGGAAATGCAGAGTTACAGGGAGACGGTGGGCCTGGGTGGGGTGTTGATCAGAAGGTTGGTGTGGACTTGTTGGGCCTGATGGCCTGTTTCTACACTGAAGGGGTACTATGGTATGGTACAAGCTTCTCCATGAACTTGGACACCATTGCCTTCCTCTGTCAGTCTTAGACTTTCTGCTCCTGACTTTAGCATCTCTGTTCTTAATGTGCTTTTTATAAAACATTTACTCTCCCCACAATGAATCCCAACAAAATGATATTGTGGCCGAATGTTCAGCACACAACAACATTACAGGAAATCCACTGGTTATGGAAAATTATCTTAATTAAGCAGTTAGAGACTCTGGAAGATAAAATTATTGTTCATCAAAATCAGTTTTATCTTAAATAACATATTGCATCAATGTCATTTTCTAATTCTCCTGATCTTTGCAAAGGATACAGAAACTATTATAACCTATGATATCAATATACATTTCAAAACAGTTTAATATCTTGAAAATAAAACTTGGCTTAAAATTAAATTGGCTCATAACTAACTTCAATTACTGTCTGGCTTTGTCCGAAACATGGTGCTGGGTGGTTGACAGGAATAACGCGACAAAGTTCCTTGTCTGGAATGTCTTCTCTCCAGCTATTACCAAAAAGAGTTATTTCTTCTGTTAATAAACCTAAAAAAAATCAAAACAATTAAATTTAATTTGAAAAAATACATGTTCCCTGAAGCACAGACTTTCCTCTTGAATGAAGATCAGGTGGACAAGTGGCAGGACACAACTAATGGCCACTTATGAAAAGGTGGGCTAACCACATTAAGTTTTTCACATTGCCAAAGTTGCATAAATGCAGCAAGACTCTGGTGTCAGGAACACCAGAGATTAACAGCTTGCCCTTATGATGGTGGAAACTTAAAGGCTACTGCACAGCACCAGCTAGGTGTTAAAAACTAACTTGTTGCAAAATTTAGACACAATGACATGCTCAGTGGAAAAGAGGTAATAGTGGCACTGACCATTTTGCAGATACATATATCACCCTGGTCAAGATTAGTAAAATACTTTGTGAAGGTTATAAATGATTGTGTGAAAGGTGAGGGAGCTCAGGCTCAGACTGAAAAGACAAAGCTCATGAAGATTTAAAACAAGGCTAGAAGATTCACCAGCTTGCATGATAGGGAGAATAGCGAGGAAGAAGTCTCACCTTAAATGAGATTCCTGGGTTAACAGTTGCCAGGCTGGTAAAGGAATACAACAGAAGTAGACGTTTGACTTGTACCAGAAGAACTTATCCACTCAAAAGACAGTGAAGTGGGCTGTGCTAAAAATACAAGATCTGTTCTGTAGTTTAAAATGTAAGTTGCCTATAAAATAATGTTCAGTTAACGCTGCTTTTAACTTGTTGTTATTGCAAAGGTCTTGAACATGAATTGTTGTCATGCCATCTCCCATGGAATCAATGTCATTATCTCACGGCTCTGTTGGATTAGTCCTGTGGTTTTGTATGAGCCTACAGTGCAGTAATGTGATACTTAGGAAGACCATGTTGGAATTTTCACACTGTAGGTGTTTGAGCTTCCATTGCAGTAGAATGGGGTGCCAGAGGAGCTCCAGCTGAGCACCACTGCTCTGTTCATGGAACTCACCAGTCTCTCCGTTTCAGACAGAACACTCTCCAAAAGGCCCTGAAGTTTGACTCATCCAATGAGGTGTGAGTTTGCTGAGAAGATTCTTAGCGCACCCAGTATTTTCTAATGTTTGGTTATCGAACATGGCGTCTGAATCCACTGCAACAAAGCATTGTGTAATTCTCCTATACAGTGCAATGCACTTTTGGCGCTCAAACCCACTGCTGTATCTACTGCACACTTGTGCCCTGTGATCAACTACACAGAAATTCATCTTCCATCCTACTGCATGTCCTGCCTATTTCAGAGCTTGCTGCAATAAAGTTTCACAATGTCTGCAGGAATGCTGCCCTCTTATTCCTGAAGTGACATAGGGATTTCTACATTTCTTTACTCCATGTACAGACAGAGTGGGAAAGATTAGATTCGGTGCAAAGGGTGAGCTGGTGAAAACATCTGCAATTATCATCCAAAGTATTTCTATGAATTAGAAGAAAGACTTTTTTTTTATAAAAAAGACGAAATTGCAACTAAATTTGGCTTGATATCTTTGCCAGTGTTGCCAACTAACATGGTTATGACTCTTCCCTTTCTTACAATAGCCAGCACAACTTCTACTAGAGGGTATTGCATGTGGCTCTGTGTTCTACCTCCTCCATTAGTAGTTTCTGGTCTCAGATTATGGGCCAGCATCTTGTGAAGGGATTGTTACTAAGTCCCCTGTGAGATTTTTAAAGAAAATGCCAGTTATGGCTGAATAGCTGCTATGTTGTGTATTGAATGTGATATGTGGAGACATGAATTTGGAATAGTGGTAAGAATCTATTGATTACAATCAGTATGCAGAAGGAGCGCAGAGGCAGATTGATGAGAAAGGATACCTGGGGAGAAGAGTAATAAGATCAGAGGTGACACAGATATGCGGAAATGATACAAAGCTATATTTTAACCTTTTCAACCATGGAGAGGTCACTGAACCTATTGCAGCATTGCAGCTATATTCTGGGCATTGATGTTTACTGCTGCCTCATGTCGTGGTTAACTCAGGTATTGCCTGAATGACTTATTGTTCCCGAAAAATTAAAGGGGGCTTCCGTCCTGCCATCCCCTACCTGATTAAGGAGCTGTCAGTAGCCATTTCTTCCTTCACAAAACTCCTTTCTTTCTGCAACCACAAGGCACTTCTGTTTAAGAAATGCTGGTTGTTTTTAAATGGTGTCAATCAAGCTTTATCTCCATCCTGGCCATCAAAACTGGATGTACCTCATGTTGACTGCATATCTGCCACATTGTTATGAGATCCCAGCACCAACTTCACAAGTTGACTGGGTTCAGACAAACAGGAATTTTAATTGTGATCTCTGTCTACTGGGCATAGATTTTCAGGTCTTTGACTATGGAAGTACATTAACTGGACTATGGTGCCAACTTAAACAAGAAGAACAATGTTGTTGAAGGTTGTCTGAATATTATTTAAATGTTGGAAAATCCGAAAGGATTTAGGAGTTCAAACACACATTATTAAAATAGAACAGTCAGGTACAAAAATTGCGTTTCAAGGCTGATAAAATTCTAGCCTTTATAACAAGACAGCTGGGATATAAAGAGGACAAAGTTTTGCTAAAAGAAGACCTGGCTAGTCTAATGTACAGCTCTGGGAACTACACCGTAAAAAGGAAATATTAGCCTTAGAAAGAGTGACGCATCGGTTCAAAGGTTTGATTTGGAGGCACAATTACATAAACCAGGCTTATATTACCTGTACAGAAGGTTAAGGGTGATTTGATTGAGGTTTTTAAGATTTTGTGTGAAATTGATGAGTTAAATTGAGAGGCAGCTTTCCGATCGGTTTGAAAGCCTAGTGAACCGGGGTATAATCTCAACTTGCATTTGCACAATACCTTTCAAACAGAAAAGAATTCTAAACCACAGGGTAATTATGAATGAAAATTTAACACTGAATCACACAAGATCAAGTGTTTAGTCAAAGATGAATGTCAATGGAGGAAGGTAAAGTAGACATGCACAACGGTTTAGGGAGGGATTTCCAAAGCTTTAGGCCTTTGATACTGTAGACAAGCCGCCAATGGAGGAATAATTAAAATCTGAGATCCTCAGGAAGGAGTTCAGATAGCTTGGAAGGCTACAGAGCTGGAATAGGTTACTGAGGAAGGGAGGGACTGAAACCATGTAAGGATCTGAAAACAAGGATGAGAATTTTAAACTTGAGACATTGCTCAAGCAGGCTCAAGGGCTGATCGGTGAAGAGGACCATTTGAGAGTAAGGATCTGGACAGTAGAGTTTTACATGATCTCAGGTTCACAAATTTTGGGAATGGGTGCCCTACCACAATCATTTAATAATTTTGTCTATGTAATATTTCCAAGGTGAAAGTATTACTTCGAAGTCGCAGTGAACTGCGCTATAAATTAGTTTACCCAGGGCTTTTTATATTGTAGCAAAATATCATTCCTTTTCATTTATTGTTATTTAATATTCACATTATTTACATTGTTTACACTAGAAGAAAAATAACTGGAGTGAAACATGAGAAATACAACAGTTCTCCACAGGCTGTACATGAATAATGTACATATTAAAAATTTTGGTTTCCCCAGAGAAAAAAGCGACTTCTACATTACACATTGCCATGTCGTGATTCAAATTACGTGTGTTGACCCTCTCGCTCTGACAGCACAGTATTTCTCTTGCTCATTGAGAAAAGGTTTAAACAGACCACTGCACAAATCAGATGCTACCATTGAATAGCCACAATGGAAAAGAGCACAAATCAGAGACCTGGCTATGATAAAATAGTTCACTGCGCCATAATTATTCTTAGAAAGAATCTTTTGGTATGTTCAATGAAAACGGTTTTAGCATGTGTTAGATGCAAACAAAAGGTATTTGAATTACAGACTTCAAAAAAATCATACTTTGCACATTGAGAGATAAATGGTATCAGTATCTATGTTGAGATATCTAGCAGTTCTCCAGCATTATACCATACACAACCAAATCAGATTACCATATTCGTGCTTACTTGATTTTTTTTTTAAAACTCACCATAGCTAGTGTATAAGTCATCATGCATATTTCCATTAAAATTGCCACATAGTCCGCATACTTTTCCAACATAATCCACATTTATTTTTACATAGGCTCCTGAACTACCATCCCATGCCAGAGAAAATCCATGGTGATGTCTAACCAGAATGTATCCAGCTATTTGTTCAAATTTTAGGTTTCCAATAACGTATGGCAGCTGCACCCTGGGGAACAGAGTAAGAAATTCGAAGTTACATTTCTTTAAAGATAGCTGACCCAATGTTTTGTAGTTATCAAGAACTGATAGTGTTATTATGACAGCACCACACTTTGTTAACAGTCATATTACTCTGAGTACAGCTCTGAATAAACAACCAACAGAATGGTAACCAGAACCATGAATGAAAGGATGAAGTAGGTGGTACCTGAAGGACCATCAACTCAAAGAAAGACACACTTTGCCCTGCCCAAACCTGTTCATCCTCCATTGCAAAGAGTTGGCCTTGACTGTGAGTGGCAGACTAGCACAATCCAAGGTCCAGGACTACAAGATTAGGGATACATGAAGGCTTGGGGAGCTGCTGTTAAAGTGCTGTGAACAAAGGCCACAACCTAAAGAATTTCAGCCACTGAGAGGCTAATAACTGATAGAATGCCTCAGGCTATCTGTGTATAAAAGAATGCATATAATTCTTATCACATTTACTTTGTGTTAAAATTTTGCAATTGGATTGAGACTCCTAACAGCGTAAAGTGCTCAAATGGGAAACATGGTATTTTACAATGTCTTCTATAATCACTGGATTGAACTGTTTTGCAATTTACTTCTAGATATTTCATGAATAAAGTGTCTTTTCTGGCAAAAAGTAAAATCTGAATGAACATCAAGAAAAAGTGGCTCCCATGAGAGTTACAAGAAAATTGAAAGCCAAATTAACCGTTGGGTATTTTCCTGCACTTAATTAGGGCAGCACTGGACACTTGGGGTGGAATCATATAAAGGGCCTGAACAATATGGGCTCCAGTGTGAAATGTGGCAGGAGTGTGCGAGAGGTCCAGTGAGACATCTGCAGCACATTTTAACTGTGTAATCGATGTCAAGGTAAGATTCTCACTAAGCAGTGGAGAGTTGCCTATTAATTGATTGTTAAAGACCTTATTAACTGCAGATCTTGCCTAGTCAATCTGTGGCTTTCAATCTTACCATTCACTGCCAGCAATCTAGATGCTGAGAATTCAGGTGGTCACAGCAGGTACCCGGCTGCCTGCAAAGAGTCACTATGCAACAGCATCTCAGGACACACTCCACACATCCACAGACATTGGACCTGACACATGCCACCTGCTAAGAACCTTTATGATACATCTCTAATCCACTTACAGGATGATTCTGCGCTTCAATAATGCACCTTGGGGGTGCAACAGCAGGTACATTGTCGAGCTGCAGCAAGGACGCTGTGTGCTGAGGAACACACACCCAGCTGCTGGAATCGACCAGTCTGGATCTCTGCAACAGTTCGCCTGCTCCCTTTGCGATCACTCACTTTGATCCTACCTGGACGCTCAAAACACACCTACCTTGCATTTTTTGCATCTTGTTCCTCAGCCAGAGATTCTAGGCTCAAAGTACGGCTGAATTGCTGTACCATTTAATGGTGACACAAAGGGATCAAGTTGTCACAGTTGTTAGCCGTTCCTCAGTCAAATCAATGGAGATAGCCTCCAGGGGATGTCAGTCCAGTCCAAAGATGTACAGTTTAGGTGGATTGGCAATGCTAAATTGCCCTGTACTGTCCAGGGATGTACAGGCTAGGTGGATTAGCCAAGGTAAACGTGGGATTACAAGGATAGGATTGGGGGTGGGGAAGCAGTGGGATGATCTTTGGAGCGTTGATGTAGATTCAATGGGCTGAATGGCCTCTTTCTGCACTGTAGGGATTCTCTGGCTCTATGATTGCAAACACAGTAGGCCAATTGCAGACTCCAACACCATCCAAGCGGCTTGGAATTAGTCAGTTAGCTGCTTGGGGAAGTCAGAGAAAGGATTCTCTCCACATCAGGGCTAAGGAGCTGAATGACAGCTTGAGTCTTTTCGCCCTACTAGTGGCCATGTTCCTCCTGGAATGAGAGGTCGGCAGCTTGTAAGGGAGAAGAAACTGCGTGGGACACCTCCTGGTGCAAGTGGGAAATGTCTTGAGTGAATGAGAAGCATACTGGGTTAGTGGGGTTTAGTCGGTGTGCGTGACAGCAAGTGAAGGAAGACTTTGGAGCCATTCATAAGAATGGTAGAGCACAAGCCTTGATGGATGGTAGGTACAGAAGTGGAGATGGAGTGAGTATGAGGTATGAGAGGGAAGATGGCAGCACTTACCTCAGCAAAGTAGAGTAGATCACTCCTTCAATCAATTCAGACTACCCTGACCTGGGTGGAATTCTTGAACCAGGTTAGCATGGTCTGGTGTTACAGCCTCCAATCGTAAAGGCAAGAGGATGTTCTGCCTCAGCAACACCTCAGCCACTGGGACCTCATGGTCATGTCCACTACAGAGCAGTGGTGAGCTGTTGTGGGTGCAAATAGAGAGAGAGAATGGGGCTAGAATTTGTTTGGGAGGAGTGCCCTATGTATAGGATAGATACCCAATGAGATACGTTTGGTAAAATATCACAAGAGAATTTGTTATGCTTCACGGAGAGAAATCCAGCATGAAATCTATGAAACTGATGCTTCGCCAAAAAGAAAATCTTCGTTTGGTTTGGGGTTGATGCTTAAGTACCAAGTGGATGAAAACAAACCTTCATACTGATTATAGTAACACCTTTTCAAAGACAATCTAGAAGCACAAATGGTGAGTAACATCTTGTTAGTATATAGCGCAGGTGAAAACAACAACAAAAATTAGAGTAATTTAGGAGCAGCAGCTGGCCACTTCAAATTAGAGATATAAAATTGAAAACATACTATGGTCAATTGATGAGGATTATGGTACGCTGAATATACCAATAACTTTTCAGATTATGCCTCAATAAATTCAGCAAGTCAGACTGAGCAACCCATTTAAGAGATACTGATCTGTGGAGCAGAACTTTCTAACTCTGAAAATGATATCAGTGTCATTACATTTTGTAATTTTAATATTTTTTTAAAGTAACTTTATCCTAGTATGAAATCAACATCATTTTTTATGCGGAGAGTCCCTGCTCTGACCTTTAAAAGTTTCATATTTAGAAGATATGATTCCTAGTGTTATTTTTGTTTGCTTACAGCTACATTATATTAGAACTTGCTGCTAGTACTTCTTGTGGTAATTCTGTTCTTGATTATTACATAGAACATAGAACAGTACAGCACAGTACAGGCCCTTCGGCTCACGATGTTGTGCCGAACTTTTACCCTAATCCTAAGGTCTATCTAACCTCCACCCCTACCTTATACTATCATCCATATGCCTATCTAATAGCTGCTTAAATGCCCCTAATGAGGCCGACTCCACTACCCTCTCCGGCAATGCATTCCACATTATTCTGTTTCCAGATATGGAGTCCCTCAGAAACTTTGTTACTTATTTGTATAACTACGATATTCCTCATGAAAATTTCAGCGGGTAGTCCAATAGCAAGTCAGCAGTTTGGAGATGAACAGGTAGGTGTACAGCGGGGGAGCAAATGAAATTATTAACCTACCATGGACTTCCAATCCTGTCTTAGCAATTGTGAAAATATTCAGTTCATATCTTGTAAGATGACTGTTATGGCATTGTGCTGCGTTGGATTAAGATGAATCTTGATAACAACCCATCTGTGATCTGACTCTAGCAATTGCTGTCCTTCAGTTCAAGGAAGAAATCTACACAAGGCAGTAAGTTTCTGCTGTCTTCATGTAACTGAGCAGGCCAATTTTCCACTGTAGATCTTTGAACACCACATGGACCACGACAAACCACACAAGTTAATGTGATTGTGGAGTGTAGGGCATGCTTCCTTTTCTTCCCTGTTGCCTCTCTGCGTCATCTATAATGACTTGGATTCATTGTTACCATCCGAATGATTGGGAGCAAGCACCTGCCAGTCAGTAAGGTCATTGAAGAAGCAGAGCTGCACAGTGACTTTGGAATATTTTCTTTGCCCTCCTGCCCTGATTTGCCTTTCCAAAATGCAGTAGCTCACATTTATCTAAATTAAACTCCATCTGCCACTCCTTGGCCCATTGGTCCATCTGATCAAGATCCTGTTGTACTCTGACGAAACCTTCTTCGCTCTCCACTATGCCTCCAATTTTAGTGTCATCTGCAAATTTACTAACCACACCTCCTATGTTCATATCCAAATCATTTATACAAATGATGAAAAGCAGTGGACCCATCACCGATCCTTGTGACACACTGCTAGTCACAGGACTCCAGTCTGAAAAGCAACCCTCCACCACCACCCTCTGTCTTCTACCTTTGAGCCAGTTCTGTATCCACATGGCTAGTTGTCCCTGTATTCCATGTGATCTAACCTTGCTAACCAGTCTACCATGAGGAAGCTTGTTGAACGCCTTACTGAAGTCTATATAGATCACGTTCATCACTTGGCCCTCATCAATCCTTTTTGTTACTTCTTCAAAAAAACTCAATCAAGTCAGTGAGACGTGATTTCCCACGCACAAAGCCATGTTGCCTTTCCAAATACATGTAATTCCTGTCCCTTAGGATTCCCTCCAACAACTTGACCACCATCGATATCAGGCTCACTGGTCTATAGCTCCCTACCTTTTCCTTACCACCTTTCTTAAATAGTGGCAACATGTTAGCCAACCTCCAGTCTTCCAGCATCTCACCTATGGCTATCGATGAGAGAAATATCTCAGCAAGGGGCCCAGCAATCACTTCCCTGGGCTTCCCACAGAGTTCTAGGGCACACCTGATCAGGTCCTGGGGATTTATCCACCTTCATGCATCTTGAGACATCCAGCACCACCTCCTCTGTAATATGGACATTTTTCAAGATGTCGCTATTTATTTCCCACATTCTCTATCTTCCATATACTTCTCCACAGTAAACACTGATGCAAAATATTTGTTTAGTAACTCCTTTGAAGCTACCTCCAATATTAAATAGTTGCTAGATAAAAATGCTTTAATCAAAGAAGTTTGTTTCAATACATAACCAGAATATAATACAAGCATTAAAAAAAACCATTTAAGCCTAGATGTGAAGGTTAACTAGCCTCAAGAGATGCCTTCTCTTATGCCCTGAACAAGACGGATTGCTCACAACCCATAAATTACAAAATACTATCAGTAGAAGTAGTCCTATAACGTTACACTTTATAATTAACTTTATAACAGAAATTAACCTTATAGCAATTAGTTTTAACTAACTGATGTTTTATTTTAACATTATGTAATTGGGACAGTGGGAAATATTAGAGGAATTGCTGAATTTGATAAAATAAAACGCATGTATACAATGAATAATAGAATTCACACTGTCCTTAGAGATAAGATGCCTGAGACAGATCCCAAGGAGTATAGCCAGTAAACTTTTGGAATGTGAACGAATAGGATGCATAGAAAGATACCAAGGATTAGAGATGACAAATGCCATAAGACCATGGGAACCTGGGGCTGTATGTGGGAATGCCCATCATTGATTAGGTGAGCCATAGGATTGGGTGTACGGATTAAGAGGGATGGACAGTGACTACGCTGTACTTGATCATTGCAACAAAGTGTATAAAATGCTGTATTTTCACTGTAAAAATCAGAGTGTGTCATTGATCTTCCTTTTGATTTGGGAAAGAATCTTTGACCCTCTCCCTGCATCACCGGTTTCTGCTTCAATAAACATCTTCCACTTGCCTGAATTCTGCCTGCCTCCTCAGTTTTTGTCCCTGGTTGGGAGGTATGCACCTACAATGATGTTCAGCGTGCAGGATCTGTGGTATACAATCTATAGGCACAGGCAATTTGAGGTGTCAAACTGTGGACACCACCACCTTGGCATTTTTCCTCAGGAAGGTGAATTCCTTTAGCATTTTTCCCCGCAACCTCTGAACATGAGAGGTGGCCACACAATCAGCCACTTCTTGCAATATTTGCTCTATAATAAGGATCATCCCAAAAATGTGTCTACCTTTTCCAGTTGGACAACCTCTCACCGAATATCGAGGGAGAGGTGGTGAATACTGCCCACCTCCCCATATAAATATTCATAAATTCTCTTCAATGCAACAAAAGTTACATCATACTGGAGTGAAATACCTTTAAGAATTTCTGCTCTCGTGCTTCCTTCCTTACTTCCTTTTTTTTTGTTAGAAAACACAAAGTGCATGTCCAAATTATAATTCACTGGCCTGAATTCCGTGAAGTCAGATACTTTTACCACCCAAATAAAGAATCGCAGGACTGCAAGACTTCAGTTCCATTCTTGTCTGTCTCTGTGAACCCTCTCAACATTGTAGAGATTGATATACTAATATGCTTAGAGATGTGGTACAGAGATGCAGCTTTAGAATGTATTGTAACAGTCTCCTCAACAGGAGTTACAGTCTGATTGATTTAGTGACATTAGGTCACAATGAAAAGAATTATTCCTATCTAAATAAATTTTCAACACAAGGTTTTTGTCTGGAACAACCTTAAATAGCCAGAAGAATTGGGCATTTTTTGAAGCAAAATACTAACCTTTGTCCATGGTGGATGACTTCATGACGTTGTATAATAATTTCCCCTTCATATGTAAGGAACAAGCTGACTGATCGCTGACAAGTATATGGAGAAGATTGACATGTTGGGTCATTGTGAACCTGCAGAATAGGAAATATAGCATTGACAAGTCAGCAATAGCGACTTAGAAATAATCTTAGTTTAGCAGTACCGCAGCAAAACTGCATACATATTGGTTACTCTTCACTACCTCTGGAAACCTCCAAGCATAAATCTAACCATGGGAAAGGAGCTTAATTTTTCTGTTTTCAAGAAAGTGGATTAAATATCTCAAATATATGAGATCTGTCTGCCTCAGCCTAGTAACTCAATAATGAAGACCACTCCAGAACACAAAAATACTGTCTAAAGAGCATAATTACCAAAGAGTATTTAAACCAACTGCATGATGAATTTGTTTTAGAAACCAAGATATATTTGTCCATCAGGTAGCAACAACTGATGGAAGTAAGATTGTTAGTGAACAGCTGATGGCACTCGTGGTCAAGGTAGATCCCAGATTGAACCCTATCTTGACAGATTTTTTTAAATATCTCATTAGTTACTAAAACATATTCATAGAAATTTGCAGATTACATTTAACTTCAGAATACAAGATTAGTACACAAAAGAAAGAAAACAAACAAACCAAGCTATTATACACTATGCAATAAAAAAGATATTAACAGAATCATAAAAATGAAGTTCCAACTTGTTTCCCAACATTATCCATTATAGAGACTCAAATCAGAAAATTATAGTGCTATGTTAACTCAGTTTTCTGCTAAATTGACTCAATCTAGTTTCTCTGTCTTGAACTGTGGAAATCCTTTTTACAATTCCTCTCCAACTAAGATAGCATAAATCTTTCACAATGTAATAGCTTAAACTTTTTTTCCCCCATTTTAAATCTATCCCAAGGCCCCCTGGCTTGGGAACTAAAACTAGAAAAAAAACTGCTGCTGCAGTGACTGGTTTCCTCTGAATTGAACTAAAATCTGCTCAGACAGAAAATAACACTTGCTTCTGAATTCAATGCTTAATTCTCCTGAATTAAATCACCAGTGTTCTCTGAACAAAACTGAAAACAAATGACTTAACATGTTTACACTGCCAATCATAAACCCAAAAGCATAAACATCTTATTCTATTAAAACTCCAAGGTTTCTTGGAATGGGTGCATTTAGTTCATTGTCCCAAAATGACTTTGACATTTTTACATAAATAGCAGCTTCACAGAACTAACAGACATCCATATGCTTCCTCTTTTCAAATTGATTTAATTCCAAAAATGACATTAATATATATTATGCAACTTGCATCACAACATGATCTATATGCAATGGTTTTTCTGCAGCTCGTTACAAGAGTCAGAATTGTCCACTTCTATTCATCCAAATTATTTAGTTATCCATTTTAAATGCATTGTATTAAAAAATGTGAAACCAATATATAGGAGTGTGCTTCAGAACCTTGGAACGTCGATAACATTGACAAATCTTTTTCATTTATCTTATGATGTTGTTTTGACATACAGTTCCCAACTGTTTATCTTGTGAAATATTGGTTTAAATCTTTCTGACATTGATTTATGTAATAGCTCCAGCAGCATAAAGGAAAGGAAACCTCATGAATTTTTAATTTCAGTTCAATTAATTTTTATTGCTCATTTTGTTAAGTCAATAAAAAAATTCCTAATGCAACACTGACTTCCATTTACCTTGTTTAACTGTTCTATCTAAGAATCTCATGGGGGGATATATTTTTTGTATAGTTATCACTAAATGACACCATATGTTAGCATCCCACAGCATGTCCTGATGAATCAAGGCAAGTCTACACACAGTTGCTAGAAGCTGCAGGAATAATTTTATTTATTTGATAGGTTTACAAATATGATTGCAATTGTAAAAGTTAGAGGAATTTATTTTGGCTTTCATAGAATACTTCTAAGGACGTATTAAAATTATGAATGGCATAAAAATAAAACTGGATTTATAGAATCCCTACAGTGTGGAAACAGGCTATTTGGCCCATTGGGTCCACGCTCCAAAAAGCATCTCACCCCAACACACCACCTAACCCTATCCCCACAACCCTGCATTTCCCATGGCTAATCCATCTAGCCTGCACATCTCTGGATACTTTGGGCAATTTAGCATGGCCATCCACCTAACTTGTACATCTTTGGACTGTGGGAGGAAACTGAAGCACCCGGAGGAAACCTACACAGACACAGGGAGAATGTGCAAACTCCACACAGATTGTCACTTAAGGTTGTAATCGAACCCAGGTGCCTGGCACTGTGAGGTAGCAATGCTAACCACTGAACCACTATGCCTCCCCGGGTTAAGTTTAGTTTTTATGTTCCAAATTTTCTGTTAACTAAATTCTTTCCATATTCCTTTCAGTCTTCTATCTCAGGATGTAAACTGCATTGTAAACAACAATAGACATTTGATCAAAAATGGATACTTTCAGATCCCTTCTGTAGTAGAATATTGCAATTTAACAAAATTGTTCTTATATTGTAAAGCTCACAATTCATAATTATCACGTGCAAATATCTTAGCATAGACTTTGCTTCAATAAAAGTGATTCTAAATAAACCTCCTTAAGTGTTGGAAATTCCGTTGGCTGCGTCCAACTTAGATTGATTCCTGTAAAATAAGACACAAATGGGCCTTGTACTGTTGATCTGATTTACTGGCAAAAGAAAGTGATGGGAAAACAATTTTAAATGGACCATGGTAAAAGGATCTATGAGGCCTTAAAACTACACATTAAATATCAAATACAGTAACAATCACATTGAAAAGAAGTAGATTTGAACACTTATCTGAGAAAATGTCAATGTCTTTAAAATAATTAAACGTATAGTCTGGTTAATCCAATGAATATCTGCATTATCGAGAAATAAAGTTCTATCCCATCTGTATTCAAATAATCTCTTTTAATTCAGATGACAGATAGAAAGAGCAATATAACTTGTCTTAATGCTGTATAGATAAAGAATGGAATGTCAGCCTTGGTTCTTCTTCCTAATGCTTATATTGGAAAGTGTGGGTCTGGTAACCTCTGGAGAGACCAGAACCAAGTTTAGTTGCAGCAGGATCTGGTCCAAGAGCCTGTTCAGATCCACCATCAGGGTTTATAATTCAGAGAGATAATGGCGCTTGAAGAAGGAATCAAAAATGACCAGAAACCAGGTACCATATTTTAGCAAAGAGTCAATATGCTTGGCCGAGGCTGAAGTATTTCAATTCCATCTGGAAGAACTGCATCTTCGAGTTTACTGGAAATGCAAATGTGACTTGGAATTACATTGTCATCACTTCACTGTTGCTGGGCAAAAAACCTGGATCTCCCTTTCTAGCAGCACTGTGCACACGAGGACTGTAATGATTCAAAAAGGGAGGTTAGCACAACCTACTTAAGGGCAACGAGATTGGCAATAAATGTTGGTCAAGCAATGGTGCATACAGTCTACAGAAAGTGAAGAAAATAAAATATAGCAAAAGAAAATCGTGTTATTGATGTATTACAGCCTCAATACTTACAATCTACAGACTGCCCTGTGTCTATCCAGATCCAAACCTATCCATGAGAAAGAAACCAAATTGCCTTTCTTCATGGATGGAGTTTATTAACTGCTCAGTCTTAAAAAGGTCCTTCCACATGCCAGTTCCACTTGTCCCTCTTTTAAATTACCATCAAATTATTTATCATCTATACTAATAATTTTGAGGAAGGCATAGAGTGTGATGTGTTCAAATTTGCTGTTGATACAAAATAGGTGGGAGAACATGTCATAATATGGTCACAGGAATCTGTGAGGATTCCAAAAGGATTTACGTAGGTCACGTGAATGGGAAAAACCTGGCAGATGGAGTTTAATCTAGGAAAATATGAGGTCATGCACTTTGGTAGGAAGAATAAAAAGGCAGACTATTATTTAAATGGTCAGTGACAACCAAAAATGTTCAGCAGAGGAATCTGGGTATTCTTGTGCAAGAAACACAAAATGTCAGCATGCAGCTTAAAAAAAAAAGTAAGTTATCAAGGCAGCAAATGGAATGTCGGCCTTGATTGCTGGGGGTTAGGGTTTAAAGTTAAACAAGTCTTGTTACAACTGTACAGGGCATTAGTGAGGCCACAGCTGGAGTACTGTGTACAACTTCTGTCCAGGCTGTGAGCAATCCTGACTCAGCCATAGTCTTTTACCATGGCTACGTTATAGTCCTGTTTTAAGTTCCGTAGTTTAAGAAAGGATATACTGGCTTTGGAAGCATTTCAAAACAGATTCACTAGACTGGGATGAAAAGGTTGACTTACCAAGAACAGCTAAATAGGTTAGACTTTTATTCAGTCAAGTTTTGATGAACTAATTCACAACAACATTCTTGTGGGATTTGACAGGATAGATGTTGAGAAGAGGAAATCTCAAACTAGGGAACGCAGTCACAGAATAAGGGGACACTGATTTAAACTGAAATGCGAAGGAATTCCTCCCAAGAGCGCTGAATGTTTGGGATTCTTTACCCCAGAGAGTTGTGGCGGCTTGATTACTGAATGCATTTAAAGAGGAGATAGTTAGATTTTTGAAATACTGAAGGGTTGAGGGCTATAAGCAATTGACACAAAAGAGGAGTTGAAGCCTGGAACAGATCAGCCATGATCTTGTGAAATGCAGGATAGGCTTGAGATGTTGAATAGACTACTCCTGCTATTGTTTTTGTTGTTGCTGTTTAATACTTTCTAATCAACCTGTTCAGAGATATTATTACACATCTCTGGAGCAGAGGGAATTTGAACCCTAGCCTCCTGGCCCAGAGGTAACAACACTACCACTTCACCACAAGAATTCTCCCTGCTTCCATTTCTTCCTTTCTCAGTGCTGCTAAAGGTATTTACTGATCAACCTGTTCAGAAAGTTATCACACATGAAAAATGAAAGACGAAAAATACCGAAATTGTCAGTACCTCCCAGCTCTACAACCTCTATCACAAATCAGTGCAAGTGTAGCCTCAGAACAGGAATGCAATAACCTACAACTTCCCTCCAGGCTGTCGGCAACCCTGGCTCAACCATAGTCTTTTACCATGGCTATATTAAAGTTACGTTTATCTTTGTTATTTTCAGAGAGCAATCTATACCAGACCGCAACTATTCAAGGAGAACACCAACAAACTTCTCAAAGGAACTAAGAACAAGAGACAAAATTAAGTCTGTCAGTATCACCACATTCCAAGAACAAATGACCAACATTGCAATAACATCAAAAGCATGTTATATTCAATCTCTGTTACCTGAATTGTGAAGCTCTGCTGATTTTGTGTGCAATCCCTCACTAGTGTATATGTGCAGTTTCCAGGGTAATAATAGTAAAGTCCATCAAATGTTTCATAATTGTACTGGCCCCAAGTTCGGCAGATCAAATCACGACTGCTACCTTTATTGGGAACTGCAAAATAGATAATAGTTAATTGCTTTTTAAAAATTTTAGAAAATATTTAAAATAATTTTGTACCAACTTTCAAACTGAACAGATTAATTTATTTTGATGAGTTTGACGACCATGGATAAAAAAATACATTAGTCAATCCATTAAATTTCAAACTAATATGTATTATTCCTGATTTACATTAAAGCAAATTATCCAAATCAGTTTCCAATCACTTACCCTTCACAGATTCATCAAAGGTTACATTTTACTATCCCTGGAGCATTATATATATAGGAATATTTCAGAATGAAAATTGCATTACATTTGACATAATGTGAACTTTAAAAGATGGGTATTTTTAAAACTCTCCTTTAAATCAAAATTAAATATAATGTTCTGAATGGAGAGATGATGATCATACTGAATTTATGTACACTACTATAAAAGCACTTTTCACATACCATCAGGCTCAGTTTCTCCCTGATTTGTTTTTTTTTTAATTCTACATTTAGTGTGGACTGGTACGTAAACGTATACCAATTTAGATAATAGAACTTACTGGCTAAAATAATTTTTTATCATATCTTTTGGACTAAATTTGACATTAAGTGACATTGTATTTCTGTAGTTAATGAAAATAAAAACTGGAAAAATATATAACAAGTGGCTAATCTGATAGCATAAAATAATAGTTATCACCTAAAATCAAGATTAACCCTTGTTTCAGCACGAATACAAATCAATAATTCTGCTCATCTGATACTTCCTAATTTCCAAAATGGCTTTTGGCCATATAAATCAGAAATACCATATATATTAAAGTACTTATTTCAGCTAGCTAAATGAAAATATCTGACAAATTATTTTTAAACACTTTTGCAATTAGCTTACCGTACGAACGTTTATAAATGCAAAATTTTAATAATGAGGCATTATAGATTTAAAAGTTGTTATTGGAATTTCTCTTTTTGTTAAATTTGTACCTGTTTGGCATCGTGTTCCATTTGCCTCAAATGCAGTGCAGTCACATTGGTCCATATTTACACATATTCCTGCATTTAGACATGGGAGCGAGCATAAAGCTGAAAAGAAAATACTTCATTTCAATAATATTGGTACTTAGCCAGATTTGTTCGATGGCTACAGTGGCATACTGTATTAAATAATGTCAAAGTATAGATACGTTGCAATATACTATGGCTGAGAAAGGTTGATCGAGTTATGCTGAAAAAAATTAAAGCTTTCTTGCACTCATCATGGCAATTCACAAGAAATACTAATAGAAAGAGAAAACAACATTTTAGTCTTGCAAATACTACAAGTTATGGAAGCCATGTTAGAAATCAAAAACTGTTAATCATTATTGCCATAAATAATAAAATCTGCAACAGTGACCATTAAAAAGAAACATAGCAAAGTTTAAATGAAATCATGAGATTAGACCAAAAAAAAAGATAAAACTCGCTTTAGTTCTGAACCTGGGGTTGCAGTAATTGCATTCTTTGGAGTATAATGTGAATTATTCTACTGATGCAAAATGGATGAAGTTCAGTTCCTCAGCAGCTGTGCTGTATTCAGAATCACTGAAGCATTGAATTGATTCCTCTGTTGTGTAGGTAATTCAATTCCGGTAGATGGTGCTTCGAAATTATGACTAACCACTAAACTATGTCCTGAAAAGCATTACAGGGGAGGAGAATGATCTGATTATGTTCTCAATTCCACAGTACCATGCACCCCTACCATGTTTTTGTGCTGCTTTCCTTAACCCAATTACTACTCGCATACTTGACTGGTAAGTCACTGAGCTTTAATTTTCCTGAAAATATCAAATAGGTTTATTTAGCAGATAACTGATAATTTTCTATTCCAGGGCATCTTACGGACACATGCTTGGTCCAGCATGTAGCTGCTTCCACTGCTTTTTGTGGAAGAGATCTCCAAAGGCTTATGACCCATTGAGAAATAAAAATTTATCCTCATCTCAGTCTTAAATTGGATTCCCCTTATTTTTAAATTGTGGCCTACTAGTTCCAGCATCCAACCTGCAAAATCCCTCAGGATCTTACATGTTTCAAGTAAGACCACTTGCACTTATCAGAGATTTCAAAATACCAACATACTAATGAAAATGGGCAGCACGGTGGCTCCGTGGTTAGCACTTCTGCCTCAAATCACCAGGGACTCGGGTTCGATTCTGACCTCAGGTAAGAATCTGTATGCAGTTTGCTTGTTCTCCCTGTGTCTGTGTGGGTTTCTGCTGGGTGTTCCAGTTTCTTCCCACATTCCAAAGATGTGCAGGTTAGATGGATTGGCCATGCTAAATTGCCTGTAGTGTTCAGGGTTGTGTAGGTTAGGTGCATTAGCCATGGGAAATACACAGTTACAGGGATAGGGTAGGGAAATAGGTTTGGATGGGATGCTCTTCGGAAGGTCAGTGTGGACTTGTTGGGCCGAATGGCCTGTTTCCAAACTGTGAGGATTCCATTTATGAAAATTATGCTTCATTTAATATATAAATCTAATTAATTTGCTGAATGATCAGAAGTGAAAACCTAGACAAATGCCATGTTTTTCCCCAGTGCGGGACTACAGAGACCAATTGCCTTATATACGAGTATATAAATACACAAATTATGTGCGGGAATAGGCCAATTGGCCTCTTGAGTCTGTCCACCATTGGATAAGATCATAGCTGATCTGACTGTGAACTTAGCTCTACTTTCCTGACTACTCCTACATACTTTGACTCCCTGTTCACAGACTCTGCCCCCACTGATCTCCACAGGACAATATCCGAAGAGAAAATATTTCCCCTAATCTCTAACTTAAATGGGAGAGGTCCTATTTTGAAGCTGCATTCCCTAATTGCAGTTTCTCCCAAAAGGGGAAGAAAAAGTCCTCTCAATGTGAAGTACCCCCAGAATCTTCCATGTTTCAATAAAATCAACTCTCACTCTTCTAAATACCAATAGATACAGGTCCAACTTACTCAATCTTTCCTTACAAGATATTGCTTTCATCCTAGGAAAATGAACTATAGTCCTGTATGAAATTTGTTAATTTAGCATAGCCTTGGGACCTTATATTGGGAATCATTGTAGCTTCTAGAATCATAGAATAAGACAGTGCAAAAGGAGTTAATTTGTCCCATCATATCTATGATAGCTCTTTGAAAGGACAACATTTATTTTTTTCTTTCAAGTGCATTTTAATTCCCCTTTGAGAGTTATTATTGAGTCTACTACCACATCCTTTAAAATTGTACGTTCCAGAACAAAACTTATCATTCTGGGAAAAAGATTTCTCATGTCACCTCTGACATTAAATCTACATACTTCTAGTTACCAATTGTGTTATCATTAGAAACAGATTCTCCATATTTACTTTTTCAAAAGCCATTGTGATTTACAACACACACATTTCAATCTCTACTCGCAGCTGAGAAACCACATATTCTCAAGACTTTCCAAATAAGTGAAGTTCCAGATCCCAAGTACCATTCTAGTAAAGCTCTTTTGTATCTCTCAAAGGTTTTGACATTTTTCCTTTTGTGTGGTGCCCAGAACTGAACACAGTAATCCAATCTAACCGATAATTTGGATAAAGTCTCACATAACTTCCTTTCTTCTCTATTTATAAAGCCAATGATCTTAAATGCTCTTTTGGCAGCTTTGTCAACTTGTCTTGCCACCTTCAAAAATTTCTATTTCTGCACCCCTTTACAATTGTATCATTTAATTCATGTTTTTCTCATTCTTCCAACCTAAATATGTAACTTTAGCCAATTCTTTTCGATTTAGCTGCCATGTCTAAGGTTTTGGAGTAGATCTGCAGCTCGGGTTGTGGGTGTTGAGGTTGGTTGGCTCGCCGACCTGGTTTGTTGTTTTGCAGACGTTTCGTTACCATGCTTGGTAACATCCTCAGTGCAGCCTCCGAAGAAGCAGTGTGCTTTCCCGCCTGGTTTTTAAACTCTGGAGTCCATTGAGATGGATTGCCTCACTTCCGGTTTTCCTTCGTAGTGGAATGTACATGGGGTCGAGTTCAATGTGTTTATTAATAGCATGCTTCGTGGAGTGCC